ACTAGGCGGGTGACTAGGCGGGTGACTAGGTGAGTGACTAGGTGAGTGACTACGTGAGTGACTAGGTGAGTGACTAGGTGAGTGAGTGACTAGTTGAGTGACTAGGTGAGTGAGTGACTAGGCGGGTGACTAGGCAGGCGACTAGGCGAGTGACTAGGTGGGTGACTAGGCGGGTGACTAGGCAGGTGCCTAGGCGAGTGACTAGGTGAGTGACTAGGTGAGTGACTAGGCGGGTGACTAGGTGAGTGACTAGGTGAGTGACTAGGTGAGCGGGTGAGTGACTAGGTGAGTGACTAGGTGAGTGACTAGGCGAGTGAGTGACTAGGTGAGTGACTAGGTAAGTGACTAGTAGGTGAGTGACTAGGCGGGTGACTAGGTGAGTGACTAGGTGAGTGACTACATGGGTGACTAGGTGAGTGAGTGACTAGGTGAGTGACTAGGTGAGTGAGTGACTAGGTGAGTGACTAGGTGAGTGGCTAAGGGAGTGACTAGGTGAGTGACTACGAGTGAGTAGGTAAGTGACTAGGCGAGTGACTAGGCAGGTGACTAGGTGGGTGACTAGGTGAGTGAGTGACTAGGTGAGTGACTAGGTGAGTGGCTAAGGGAGTGACTAGGTGACTAGGTAAGTGACTAGGCGAGTGACTAGGCGAGTAACTAGGTGAGTGAGTGACTAGGCAGGTGACTAGGTGAATGACTAGGTGAGTGAGTGACTAGGCGGGTGACTAGGCGAGTGACTAAGTGAGTGACTAGGTGAGTGAGTGACTAGGCGAGTGACTAGGTGAGTGACTAGGCGAGTGACTAGGCGGGTGACTAGGTGAGTGACTAGGTGAGTGACTAGGTGAGTGACTAGGTGAGTGACTAGGTGAGTGACTAGGTGAGTGACTAGGCGGGTGACTAGGCGAGTGACTAGGTGAGTGACTAGGCAGGTGACTAGGCGAGTGACTAGGTGAGTGACTAGGCAGGTGACTAAGTGAGTGACTAGGTGAGTGACTAGGTGAGTGACTAGGCGGGTGACTAGGCGAGTGACTAGGTGAGTGACTAGGTGGGTGACTAGGTGAGTGACTAGGTGAGTGACTAGGCAGGTGACTAGGTGAGTGACTAGGTGAGTGACTAGGTGAGTGACTAGGTGAGTAAGTGACTAGGTGAGTGACTAGGCGGGTGACTAGGCGGGTGACTAGGTGAGTGAGTGACTAGGCGGGTGACTAGGTGAGTGAGTGACTAGGAGGGTGACTAGGTGAGTGACTAGGTGAGTGAGTGAATAGGCGGGTGACTAGGTGAGTGACTAGGTGAGTGACTAGGCGGGTGACTAGGTGAGTGAGTGACTAGGCAGGTGACTAGGTGAGTGACTAGGTGAGTGAGTGACTAGGCGGGTGACTAGGTGAGTGAGTGACTAGGCGGGTGACTAGGTGAGTGACTAGGTGAGTGAGTGACTAGGCGGGTGACTAGGTGAGTGAGTGACTAGGCGGGTGACTAGGTGAGTGACTAGGTGAGTGGGTGACTAGGCAGGTGACTAGGCGGGTGACTAGGTGAGTGACTAGGTGAGTGACTAGGTGAGTGAGTGACTAGTTGGGTGACTAGGTGAGTGACTAGGTGAGTGACTAGGTGAGTGAGTGACTAGGTGGGTGACTAGGCGAGTGAGTGACTAGGTGAGTGACTAGGTGAGTGACTAGGTGAGTGAGTGACTAGGCGGGTGACTAGGCGGGTGACTAGGCGGGTGACTAGGTGAGTGACTAGGTGAGTGACTAGGCGGGTGACTAGGCGGGTGACTAGGTGAGTGACTAGGTGAGTGACTAGGTGAGTGAGTGACTAGGTGAGTGACTAGGTGAGTGACTAGGTGAGTGACTAGGTGAGTGACTAGGTGAGTGAGTGACTAGGTGAGTGACTAGGTGAGTGAGTGACTAGGTGAGTGACTAGGTGAGTGACTAGGTGAGTGACTAGGCGGGTGACTAGGTGAGTGACTAGGTGAGTGACTAGGCGAGTGAGTGACTAGGTGAGTGACTAGGTGAGTGACTAGGTGAGTGACTAGGCGGGTGACTAGGTGAGTGACTAGGTGAGTGACTAGGTGAGTGAGTGACTAGGTGAGTGACTAGGTGAGTGACTAGGTGAGTGAATGACTAGGTGAGTGACTAGGTGAGTGACTAGGTGAGTGACTAGGTGAGTGAGTGACTAGGCGAGTGACTAGGTGAGTGACTAGGTGGGTGACTAGGTGAGTGACTAGGTGAGTGAGTGACTAGTGAGTGAGTGACTAGGTGGGTGACTAGGCGAGTGAGTGACTAGGTGAGTGACTAAGTGAGTGACTAGGTGAGTGAGTGACTAGGCGGGTGACTAGGTGAGTGACTAGGTGAGTGAGTGACTAGGCAGGTGACTAGGCGGGTGACTAGGCGGGTGACTAGGTGGGTGACTAGGCGAGTGAGTGACTGAGTGACTAGGTGAGTGAGTGACTAGGCGGGTGACTAGGCAGGTGACTAGGCGGGTGACTAGGCAGGTGACTAGGTGAGTGACTAGGCGAGTGAGTGACTAGGCGGGTGACTAGGTGAGTGAGTGACTAGGCGAGTGACTAGGCGGGTGACTAGGTGAGTGAGTGACTAGGCAGGTGACTAGGTGAGTGACTAGGTGAGTGAGTGACTAGGCGGGTGACTAGGCGGGTGACTAGGCGGGTGACTAGGCAGGTGACTAGGCGGGTGACTAGGTGGGTGACTAGGCGAGTGAGTGACTAGGTGACTAGGTGAGTGAGTGACTAGGCGGGTGACTAGGCAGGTGACTAGGCGGGTGACTAGGCAGGTGACTAGGTGAGTGACTAGGCGAGTGAGTGACTAGGCGGGTGACTAGGTGAGTGAGTGACTAGGCGAGTGACTAGGCGGGTGACTAGGTGAGTGAGTGACTAGGCAGGTGACTAGGTGAGTGACTAGGTGAGTGAGTGACTAGGCGGGTGACTAGGCGGGTGACTAGGCGGGTGACTAGGCAGGTGACTAGGCGGGTGACTAGGTGGGTGACTAGGCGAGTGAGTGACTAGGTGAGTGACTAGGTGAGTGAGTGACTAGGCGAGTGACTAGGCGGGTGACTAGGTGAGTGAGTGACTAGGTGAGTGACTAGGTGACTGAGTGACTAGGCGGGTGACTAGGTGAGTGACTAGGTGAGTGAGTGACTAGTGAGTGAGTGACTAGTGAGTGAGTGACTAGGTGGGCGACTAGGTGAGTGACTAGGTGAGTGACTAGGTGAGTGACTAGGCGGGTGACTAGGTGAGTGACTAGGTGAGTGAGTGACTAGGCGGGTGACTAGGTGAGTGATTAGATGAGTGAGTGACTAGGCGGGTGACTAGGTGAGTGAGTGACTAGGCGAGTGACTAGGTGAGTGAGTGACTAGGCGGGTGATTAGGTGAGTGGGTGACTAGGTGAGTGACTAGGTGAGTGACTAGGTGAGTGAGTGACTAGGTGGGTGACTAGGCGAGTGACTAGGCGGGTGACTAGGTGAGTGAGTGACTAGGTGAGTGACTAGTGAGTGAGTGACTAGGCGAGTGACTAGGTGAGTGAGTGACTAGGCGGGTGACTAGGTGAGTGACTAGGTGAGTGAGTGACTAGGTGAGTGACTAGGTGAGTGGGTGACTATGTGAGTGACTAGGCGGGTGACTAGGTGAGTGAGTGACTAGGTGGGTGACTAGGCGAGTGACTAGGCGGGTGACTAGGTGAGTGAGTGACTAGGTGAGTGACTAGGTGAGTGAGTGACTAGGCGGGTGACTAGGTGAGTGACTAGGTGAGTGAGTGACTAGGCGGGTGACTAGGTGAGTGATTAGATGAGTGAGTGACTAGGCGGGTGACTAGGTGAGTGAGTGACTAGGCGAGTGACTAGGTGAGTGAGTGACTAGGCGGGTGACTAGGTGAGTGACTAGGTGAGTGAGTGACTAGGTGAGTGACTAGGTGAGTGGGTGACTAGGTGAGTGACTAGGTGAGTGACTAGGTGAGTGAGTGACTAGGTGGGTGACTAGGCGAGTGACTAGGCGGGTGACTAGGTGAGTGAGTGACTAGGTGAGTGAGTGACTAGGTGAGTGACTAGTGAGTGAGTGACTAGGCGAGTGACTAGGTGAGTGAGTGACTAGGCGGGTGACTAGGTGAGTGACTAGGTGAGTGAGTGACTAGGTGAGTGACTAGGTGAGTGGGTGACTAGGTGAGTGACTAGGCGGGTGACTAGGTGAGTGAGTGACTAGGTGGGTGACTAGGCGAGTGACTAGGCGGGTGACTAGGTGAGTGAGTGACTAGGTGAGTGACTAGGTGAGTGAGTGACTAGGCGGGTGACTAGGCGGGTGACTAGGTGAGTGAGTGACTAGGTGAGTGACTAGTGAGTGAGTGACTAGGCGGGCGACTAGGTGAGTGACTAGGTGAGTGAGTGACTAGGTGAGTGAGTGACTAGGTGAGTGACTAGGTGAGTGACTAGGTGAGTGACTAGGTGAGTGACTAGGTGAGTGAGTGACTAGGTGAGTGAGTGACTAGCTGAGTGACTAGGTGAGTGACTAGTGAGTGAGTGACTAGGTGAGTGACTAGGTGAGTGACTAGGCGGGTGACTAGGTGAGTGAGTGACTAGGTGAGTGACTAGGTGAGTGACTAGGCAGGTGAGTGACTAGGTGAGTGACTAGGTGAGTGACTAGGTGGGTGACTAGGTGAGTGGGTGACTAGGTGAGTGACTAGGTGAGTGAGTGACTAGGTGAGTGAGTGACTAGGTGAGTGACTAGGTGAGTGACTAGGTGGGTGACTAGGTGAGTGGGTGACTAGGTGAGTGACTAGGTGAGTGACTAGGTGAGTGAGTGACTAGGTGGGTGACTAGGCGAGTGACTAGGCGAGTGACTAGGTGAGTGAGTGACTAGGTGAGTGAGTGACTAGGCGGGTGACTAGGTGAGTGAGTGACTAGGTGAGTGAGTGGCTAGGTGAGTGACTAGATGAGTGAGTGACTAGGTGAGTGAGTGACTAGGTGAGTGACTAGATGAGTGAGTGACTAGGTGGGCGACTGGCCTGCTTGAGCTGCCCACGAAGCCTCTCCTCTGTGACCCCCATGGCCCTCATCCCACGCACGCGGCAGGCTGCTTGAACTTCGCCCACGGACAGCGAGCCCACCCCCCCCTCCTTGGCGATCATCTGGGGGGGGGGTGGGGGTGGGGGTGGGGGGGGTGGGGGGCATGAGGGGGGAGGGGTTAGACGGTTGTGGTGATGACGGTAGCTATGACAACCGTAGCTATGATGACAACGGTAGCTATGACAACGGTAGCTATGACGATAGCTATGACGACAGTAGCTATGACAACGGTAGCTATGACGATAGCTATCACAACGGTAGCTATGACAACGGTAGCTATGACAACGGTAGCTATGACAACGGTAGCTATGATGACAACGGTAGCTATGTCAATGGTAGCTATGAGAACAGTAGCTATGACGACGGTAGCTATGACAACGGTAGCTATGACAACGGCAGCCATGACAACGATAGCTATGACGACGGTAGCTATGACGACGGTAGCTATGACGACGGCAGCCATGACAATGGCAGCCACGACAACGGCAGCCATGACAACGGTAGCTATGACAACGGCAGCCATGACAACGGTAGCTATGACAACGGCAGCCATGACAACGGTAGCTATGACAACGGTAGCTATGACAACGGTAGCTATGACAACGGTAGCTATGACAACGGTAGCTATGACAAGGGTAGCTATGACAACGGTATCTGTGACGACGGTAGCTGTGACGACGGTAGCTATGACGACGGTAGCTATGATGACGACGGTAGCTATGACAACGGCAGCCATGACAACGGCAGCCATGACGACGGCAGCTATGACGATAGCCATGACAACGGCAGCCATGACAACGGTATCTATGACAACGGCAGCCATGACAACGGCGTCTGCCACGACAACGGCAGCCACGACGGCGGCTGCCACGGCGACGGCTGCCACGGCGACGGCTGCCACGACAACGGCAGCCACGACAACGGCAGCCACGACGACGGCTGCCACGACAACGGCAACCACGACGACGGCTGCCACGGCGACGGCAGCAGCCCCGGCCGCCCCCCCCCCCCCCCCCCCCCCCCCACAGCACCTTGTCGTCGGCCATGATGTTGCGCAGCTTCATGAGCAGCTGGAAGCGCAGGAAGTTGTTGGTACCCATGGGCTGCAGCTCCAGCAGCCTGCACAGAGCCACCAGCTGGGGGCGGCCGAGGCTGTCCAGCGTCAACTCGTCCTCGAAGAGCTGCGAGAAGCGGAGGATCTCCTCGTTGCTGGGACGCTGCCCGCTGCTGCGGATCTACGAGGGTGGTGGTGGTGGGGGGAGTGGTGGTGGGGGGAGTGGTGGGGGGGAGAGAGTGGGGGGAGAGTTGGGGAGAGCGTCAACTCGTCCTCGAAGAGCTGCGAGAAGCGGAGGATCTCCTCGTTGCTGGGACGCTGCCCGCTGCTGCGGATCTACGAGGGGTTGGTGGTGGTGGGGGGAGTGGTGGGGGGGTGGTGGTGGGGGGAGTGGTGGTGGTGGGGGGAGAGAGTGGGGGGAGAGTAGGGGAGAGCGTCAACTCGTCCTCGAAGAGCTGCGAGAAGCGGAGGATCTCCTCGTTGCTGGGACGCTGCCCGCTGCTGCGGATCTACGGGGGTGGTGGTGGTGGGGGGAGTGGTGGTGGGGGGAGTGGTGGGGGGGGAGAGAGTGGGGGGAGAGTTGGGGAGAGCGTCAACTCGTCCTGAAAGAGCTGCGAGAAGCGGAGGATCTCCTCGTTGCTGGGACGCTGCCCGCTGCTGCGGATCTACGGGGGTGGTGGTGGTGGGGGGAGTGGTGGGGGGGTGGGGGGAGTGGTGGGGGGGTGGGGGGAGAGAGTGGGGGGTGGGGGGAGAGTTGGAGAGTGGGGGGAGAGTTGGAGAGTGGGGGGAGAGTGGGGGGGGAGTGGTGGGGGGGTGGGGGGAGAGAGTGGGGGGTGGGGGGAGAGTTGGAGAGTGGGGGGAGAGTGGGGGGAGAGTGGGGGGAGAGTGGGGGATGAGTTGGAGAGTGGGGGGAGAGTGGTAGGAGTGTGTTGGGAGTGTGTTGGGAGTGTGTTGGGAGTGTGGTGGGAGTGTGTTGGGAGTGTGTTGGGAGTGTGGTGGGAGTGTGTTGGGAGTGTGTTGGGAGTGTGGGGGGAGAGTGGGGGGAGAGTGGGGGGAGAGTGGGGGGAGTGTGGTGGGAGTGTGGGGGGAGTGTGTTGGGAGTGTGTTGGGAGTGTGTTGGGAGTGTGGTGGGAGTGTGTTGGGAGTGTGTTGGGAGTGTGTTGGGAGAGTGGTGGGAGTGTGTTGGGAGAGTGTTGGGAGAGTTGTGGGAGTGTGTTGGGAGTGTGTTGGGAGTGTGTTGGGAGTGTGTTGGGAGAGTGGTGGGAGTGTGTTGGGAGTGTGTTGGGAGTGTGGTGGGAGTGTGTTGTGAGTGTGGGGGGAGTGTGTTGGGAGTGTGTTGGGAGTGTGGGGGGAGTGTGTTGGGAGTGTGGGGGGAGTGTGTGGGGAGTGTGTTGGGAGTGTGTTGGGAGTGTGGGGGGAGTGTGGGGGGAGTGTGGGGGGAGAGTGGTGGGAGAGTTGTGGGAGTGTGTTGGGAGTGTGTTGGGAGTGTGTTGGGAGTGTGGGGGGAGTGTGTTGGGAGTGTGTTGGGAGTGTGGGGGGAGTGTGTTGGGAGTGTGGGGGGAGTGTGGTGGGAGTGTGTTGGGAGTGTGTTGGGAGTGTGTTGGGAGTGTGTTGGGAGTGTGTTGGGAGTGTGGTGGGAGTGTGTTGGGAGTGTGTTGGGAGTGTGTTGGGAGAGTGGTGGGAGAGTGGTGGGAGAGTTGTGGGAGTGTGTTGGGAGTGTGTTGGGAGTGTGTTGGGAGTGTGTTGGGAGTGTGTTGGGAGTGTGTTGGGAGTGTGGTGGGAGTGTGTTGGGAGTGTGTTGGGAGTGTGTTGGGAGAGTGGTGGGAGAGTGGTGGGAGAGTTGTGGGAGTGTGTTGGGAGAGTGGGGGGAGTGTGTTGGGAGTGTGTTGGGAGTGTGTTGGGAGTGTGTTGGGAGTGTGTTGGGAGTGTGTTGGGAGTGTGTTGGGAGTGTGGGGGGAGTGTGTTGGGAGTGTGTTGGGAGTGTGGGGGGAGTGTGTTGGGAGTGTGGGGGGAGTGTGGGGGGAGTGTGTTGGGAGTGTGTTGGGAGTGTGGGGGGAGTGTGGGGGGAGTGTGGGGGGAGAGTGGTGGGAGAGTTGTGGGAGTGTGTTGGGAGTGTGTTGGGAGTGTGTTGGGAGTGTGGGGGGAGTGTGTTGGGAGTGTGTTGGGAGTGTGGGGGGAGTGTGTTGGGAGTGTGGGGGGAGTGTGGTGGGAGTGTGTTGGGAGTGTGTTGGGAGTGTGTTGGGAGTGTGTTGGGAGTGTGTTGGGAGTGTGTTGGGAGTGTGGTGGGAGTGTGTTGGGAGTGTGTTGGGAGTGTGTTGGGAGAGTGGTGGGAGAGTGGTGGGAGAGTTGTGGGAGTGTGTTGGGAGTGTGTTGGGAGTGTGTTGGGAGTGTGTTGGGAGTGTGTTGGGAGTGTGTTGGGAGTGTGGTGGGAGTGTGTTGGGAGTGTGTTGGGAGTGTGTTGGGAGAGTGGTGGGAGAGTGGTGGGAGAGTTGTGGGAGTGTGTTGGGAGAGTGGGGGGAGTGTGTTGGGAGTGTGTTGGGAGTGTGTTGGGAGTGTGTTGGGAGAGTGGTGGGAGTGTGTTGGGAGAGTGGGGGGAGTGTGTTGGGAGTGTGTTGGGAGTGTGTTGGGAGTGTGTTGGGAGTGTGTTGGGAGTGTGTTGGGAGTGTGTTGGGAGAGTGGGGGGAGTGTGTTGGGAGTGTGTTGGGAGTGTGTTGGGAGTGTGTTGGGAGTGTGTTGGGAGTGTGGTGGGAGTGTGGTGGGAGTGTGTTGGGAGTGTGTTGGGAGTGTGGTGGGAGTGTGTTGGGAGAGTGTTGGGAGAGTTGTGGGAGTGTGTTGGGAGTGTGTTGGGAGTGTGTTGGGAGTGTGTTGGGAGTGTGTTGGGAGTGTGTTGGGAGAGTGGTGGGAGTGTGTTGGGAGTGTGTTGGGAGTGTGTTGGGAGTGTGTTGGGAGTGTGTTGGGAGTGTGTTGGGAGTGTGGGGGGGAGTGTGTTGGGAGTGTGGGGGGAGTGTGGGGGGGAGTGTGTTGGGAGTGTGTTGGGAGTGTGGGGGGAGTGTGGGGGGAGAGTGGTGGGAGAGTTGTGGGAGTGTGTTGGGAGTGTGTTGGGAGTGTGTTGGGAGTGTGTTGGGAGTGTGTTGGGAGTGTGTTGGGAGTGTGGGGGGAGTGTGTTGGGAGTGTGTTGGGAGTGTGTTGGGAGTGTGTTGGGAGTGTGGGGGGAGTGTGTTGGGAGTGTGGTGGGAGTGTGTTGGGAGTGTGTTGGGAGTGTGGTGGGAGTGTGTTGGGAGTGTGTTGGGAGTGTGTTGGGAGTGTGGGGGGAGTGTGTTGGGAGTGTGTTGGGAGTGTGGGGGGAGTGTGTTGGGAGTGTGGGGGGAGTGTGTTGGGAGTGTGTTGGGAGTGTGGGGGGAGTGTGGGGCGAGTGTGTTGGGAGAGTGGTGGGAGTGTGTTGGAGTGTGTTGGGAGTGTGTTGGGAGTGTGTTGGGAGTGTGTTGGGAGTGTGGGGGGAGTGTGGGTGGAGAGTGTTGGGAGAGTTGTGGGAGTGTGTTGGGAGAGTGGGGGGAGTGTGTTGGGAGTGTGTTGGGAGTGTGGGTGGAGTGTGGGGGGAGTGTGGGGGGAGTGTGTTGGGAGTGTGGGGGGAGAGTGGTAGGAGTGTGTTGGTAGTGTGGGGGGAGTGTGTTGGGAGTGTGGGTGGAGTGTGGGGGGAGTGTGTTGGGAGTGTGGTGGGAGTGTGGGGGGAGAGTGGGGGGAGTGTGGTGGGAGTGTGGGGGGAGAGTGGGGGGAGTGTGTTGGGAGTGTGGGGGGAGAGTGGGGGGAGTGTGTTGGGGAGTGTGGGTGGAGTGTGGGGGGAGTGTGGGGGGAGTGTGTTGGGAGTGTGGGTGGAGTGTGGGGGGAGTGTGGGGGGAGTGTGTTGGGAGTGTGGGGGGAGAGTGGTAGGAGTGTGTTGGTAGTGTGTTGGGAGTGTGGTGGGAGTGTGTTGGGAGTGTGTTGGGAGTGTGGGGGGAGTGTGGGGGGAGAGTTGGAGTGTGTTGGGAGTGTGTTGGGAGTGTGTTGGGAGTGTGTTGGGAGTGTGGTGGGAGTGTGGTGGGCGTGTGGTGGGAGAGTGGTGGGAGAGTGGTGGGAGAGTGGGGGGAGAGTTGGAGAGTGGGGGGAGTGTGGGGGGAGTGTGGGGGGAGAGTGGGGGGAGTGTGGTGGGAGTGTGGGGGGAGAGTGGGGGGGAGTGTGGTGGGAGTGTGGGGGGAGTGTGGGGGGAGTGTGTTGGGAGTGTGGGGGGGAGAGTGGGGGGAGAGTGGTGGGAGAGTGGTGGGAGTGTGTTGGGAGTGTGGGGGGAGTGTGGGGGGAGTGTGTTGGGAGTGTGGGTGGAGTGTGGGGGGAGTGTGGGGGGAGTGTGTTGGGAGTGTGGGGGGGAGAGTGGTAGGAGTGTGTTGGTAGTGTGTTGGGAGTGTGGTGGGAGTGTGTTGGGAGAGTGGGGGGAGTGTGGGGGGAGAGTTGGAGTGTGTTGGGAGTGTGTTGGGAGTGTGTTGGGAGTGTGGTGGGAGTGTGTTGGGAGTGTGTTGGGAGTGTGTTGGGAGAGTGGTGGGAGAGTGTTGGGAGTGTGTTGGGAGAGTGGGGGGAGTGTGTTGGGAGTGTGGGGGGAGTGTGGGGGGAGTGTGGGGGGAGTGTGTTGGGAGAGTGGTGGGAGTGTGTTGGAGTGTGTTGGGAGTGTGTTGGGAGTGTGTTGGGAGTGTGGGGGGAGAGTGGGGGGAGAGTGGGGGGAGTGTGTTGGGAGTGTGGGGGGAGAGTGGTAGGAGTGTGTTGGTAGTGTGTTGGGAGTGTGGGTGGGAGTGTGTTGGGAGAGTGGGGGGAGTGTGGGGGGAGAGTGGTAGGAGTGTGTTGGTAGTGTGTTGGGAGTGTGGTGGGAGTGTGTTGGGAGAGTGGGGGGAGAGTGGGGGGAGTGTGGGGGGAGTGTGTTGGGAGAGTGGTGGGAGTGTGTTGGAGTGTGTTGGGAGTGTGTTGGGAGTGTGTTGGGAGTGTGGGTGGAGTGTGGGGGGAGTGTGGGGGGAGTGTGTGGGAGTGTGGGGGGAGAGTGGTAGGAGTGTGTTGGTAGTGTGTTGGGAGTGTGGTGGGAGTGTGTTGGGAGAGTGGGGGAGTGTGGGGGGAGAGTGTTGGGAGTGTGTTGGGAGTGTGTTGGGAGTGTGTTGGGAGTGTGGT